TATTAAATGTTTGAAGTGCAACGGAAGATAACTTTTTCTTGAAAAATTTTGATAAATTTTTACTACGAGAAAATCTTCGGTGGAGGTGGTCGCATATAGTGTCTTCGCCCTTATACCTTCTTTAAATATAGATTTCATGTTCCTTTTAGATGGTCTCTCCAGGCTCTGTTCTCTGCTCTTTCTTGTTCTACGTTGGTCTTCTGTATCTAGTTTTCTGATTCGCATCATTACATTGAGTTGTCACCTTCCAAAAAGGATAGTTTTGACACCTTAAGTAAAACTGATGCTCATAGTAAACGTTGTGTAACAAAAATTCATTTTAATGTAGCATATTTTCCCTAGTGACTTAAAACAATTCTGGAACCTTCTCACTATAAACGGTTTCCAGCTTCAACATTCTTATCAGAAAGTTGATTCATTAATGGAAAAGAAGGTTGCTCCCGTGAAAGCAGAGCATATTTATTAGAAAATTTAATATTTGATTTTAAAGTAATGGCTTATTTTTTCTTTTATTGGTTTACTTTTGCCAAATATTATGATGGCATAAAACTGTGAACTTTTATCCTTCTGTAAAACCTAAACATTAACATTTTGTTGCATACAAAAGAAGTTTTTATTTCTCCATTTATGCCCAAATTTAGTCCCAATTAAATGTGACCTGAACCTGATCATGATTTTGGGGTGATAAAGTTTGTTTATCATCCCAGATTAACCCTCTAAAACAGGATATTATGATTTGCAAGCAGTTCCGTACTAGGCTCATTATGTGTGTCTTAATTAAAAATATGTATCTTTTTAAATTAAAGATAAAATTCTTTCTTCTATTGTAACCTGTAAACATTCTTGACTTAGTTAAGTTGTATTTCCAAGACACAGCTAAGGAAATTCTAAAGAATGCACCAAGATTAGTTCTTATTGATGAACGGGCATCCAATCACTTTCCTATGCCATTGGAGGTATCAAACAAATTAAGATGATGTCGCAGTTGGCAGGATTCGTCATGATGTTGCTCAAGATGGGAATCTCGGGTAATAGTCTTGGGCCATATCTTTCTTTATTGAAGTTACATTCAAGTTTTAGTAGCAAACCATCATACTGATGGGAAATTTGAAACAGGTTGGATATCTCTATCTACAGTGATCAAATTCGCAAAGGAGCTGCACTTAACGCTATTCAGATTGTCGAGTTGTTACTATAGTCGACCTTCTAGTTTTGAAGTTTCATCTAATAGATTGCTTCGAGTGGTAAGATGTGTAATTTCAAAGGGATTACCAAATGATTAAAACTTATGCGGAATGGGTTGATTGTTCAATTTAATGCAAATGAGTTGAGAATAACTGACTTAAAACATACATAAAACCAAGTAAAAAACACGCTCATTTTTACATGGTTGGATATCAAGCCTACATCCATGAGACCACATCTAGAGGAAGCAAATTCACTATGAAATAATTATGAGTAGTAAGAAACCTTAACAAATACAAGAACTGCAGAGAATATTTAGAGTGGCAAAATAGTGTAATTAGGTTTCTTGTAAAACAAAAACAAAACAGGAAAATATAAAGTGATCAACGCGTTAAAGGTTAGGGGACAAAAAAGTTAAACTTTAACTTTTATGTCTTTCATTTTGCACAAGACATTTTGGGACCACAGACAAAAGAAATATTCCTTTTCTTACACTGTGAATAAACAGGAGACAAGTGTAAAGAATAAGACAGAAAATTAATCAAGGAATAATTCTGTCTAGAAGAGAAAACAAATACGTGAAGTGTGATTCGAGGAAACATATCTGCCAGAAACGTTGTGAACACACATAGGCAAAAGTGCTCACACTTGTGAAGGTGGTTACCTTTAGAAATGTGTGCACAATGGATCATAAGATGACAAAAACACTAACAATCTCCCCCTTTGTCACTTATGATCAAAGCACATTTCAAGAACAGCATGTTGGAAAAACATTACTAAGGAGGAAAACAATAAAAGTAATAATGAAGCATAAAATCACTCCCCCTCAACAAAGATCTCCCCCTAGGTAAAAGATCTCCCCCTACGCAACATACAACAGGAAAAGAGTTACCAAGGATTTCCAAAAGAGGGCAGATCAATATGACAATCAAGAGGATCTGCATAACAAGGGAGAGATTAGCAATAAAACAACCAACCAAACAGATCATTTGCAAAAACATGAAGCACTAAAAGAGACTAAAACATTCTGCATATGAAAAGAAACAAACAAAAAGAAAAAGTGATCACACTAACAAACAGTCAATGTCAATAAAGATATAAAGTTTTTACAAAAAAAGTGAGTGTCCATCAGCTCAGCAACATCAGCTCAACAACATCATCTCCCCCTCTTTGATCATAAGAGATTAGCTTTTGAGACGAGAGGATCTCCTAGGGGGCTTTTTGCCAACAGTTTTCACATGAGTTCTACAAGGTGTACAAGCTAAAGGAGGATCAACTGCAGAGGTGAACATAGGAGCAAGGGTGGCCATACTAGAGGTTTCCTCTACAGTCTGAGAACCGACAGAAGGAGTCACATTGTCAGGTTCCTTTTCTCTATTTGAGGGATCAATTTCAGGAGTAGCTACAGAGGCAGAAATTCCTTTTGCACTTTACTCAGCAGCAATTTTAGACTTAGGTTCATCTATAACACCTTCTTCATCAATTTCTGCAATGTCTTCGAAAAGGACTAGATTTTGATCTTCCGGAACAGTATTTCCACCGACAGTGTTGGCATTCAGATCAGCTTGAGGTTTAGCAGGAACATCAGTCTCTTTAGCAGGAGTAGAGCTAGTAGGGGCATCCTTGGAACCACTTGAAGTTCCTTTACTCAGAAGTCCAACTCTGGTTTCTTTAAGGACAGTTTCAAGAGAGTTAACTTGAGCCGTCAAGGAGGTGTGAAAAGAGTCCATTTTCTGATCAAGAGCTTGCAACAACTCAAACACTTTGGACTACCAAGCACTGGATTTTACAAAAGGGGCTTGAGAGGATGAAGGGACATCCACAGCAGGGGCAATAGACTTGAGGGTTTTAGAAGAGATATTTCTAATTTTGAGGAACTAATCATTTGGTCTTTTTGAAGCCCCATAAGAGTCAATAATTCTTGTGACCAAGGAAGGGAAGGGCAGAATGAAGGATTTTCCTTCAGACTCACCAGTGGTCTTGATCAATTTATAAATAACAAAGGCAAGTTCGATTTTCTTTCCTTGCACAATGCCATATAGCAGTTGGGCTTTATCAAGTCTTATTGAGGAGTTATGCCTAGATGGACACCAGTTGGTAATGATGATTTTAAAAAAGAGTCCTATATAGGGAAACGAGCATATTGATAGGAAGGAATCCATTGTCAGGCCAAACTATAACAGTACCACCACTAAGGTCACTAGCCATAAACCTACATTCCTCTACAAGAACAGACAAGTCATCTTTTCATTCTTTACAACAGGGAGCTTCAACAGTTTCCTAATGACATCAAGGTTAAAGTCCATCCAAATACCCCTTACCCAAACTTGGTTTTTGTGAAACGAGATCTAGTCAATATCTTTCCTAAAATGTGCACAAAATTCTTGCACAAAACCTTGACATGGTGGCATAGGTTTCACCACAGATGATTTTCATTTTCTATCAGCCACGATTTTGGCGATTTCAGGGAACTCAGAGCATTTCACATTTGACTCACATACAATGGATCTAAAAATAATAGACTCTTTCAACTCAACAGAAGGGGACATAAGGATTTGTCTTTTACTTAAAGCCTCAGATTGAGGTGCCGCTTTCACTTTCTTTTTACCCTTGGCAATGTCAACTTGTTTCTTCTTCTGCACAAGAGATTCAACAAAGGACCCTTTTAAGTGTTTTAGTCTCTTGATAAAAGGCTGATCATTAGATGAAGAAGAGTTTGACAATGAGGATTTTGACACCGATTTTGAGGCAGAGAGGGTGCTTTCACTTGAAGCAAACGAGTGTGCACTTTCTTGGGTATGTGAGGACTGCCCTGTTCTTGTTCTTTTCTTGGATTCAACAGCCTTTCTAATGTCGTCAATGAATCCCTGTTGCTGTTCCATTGATCTTTATGTTGTTAGGAGAGATTGATTAGAGAAAAGAATGAATAGAAAAAACACACTTTGCATATGACAGCTGAAAAGAACAAAACACAACTTTAAAAAAGAAAAGAAAAAACGCAACCCTAGAAAAGCACGTGTTTTCCCTTTTTATTAACTGAACCCAATGTGAGCACATCAACAGTCATGTGCGCACTACAACAAAAGTCCTACATGTGATAACATAAGTGTACAAAGTACATATAACAAACCATCCACAAGGCACTAAAAGAAAACTTAGGATAGAAATCAAGGACAGAAAGCTAAAGATATGTGCACACAAGAACTCTCAAAGAGTGACATTGGATCAACGCAAAAGACAAGAGACACGAAACAAAAAAAAAATATTACCATGAGGTTAATTTCATAAACAAAAATTTATAGATGCAAGTATTGTCAATCAGTGTTACATGAGAAAAAAGATCATTAATCTTGGGGATGTTGGAGAAATGACATCAATCAAGTTACTTTCACACACGTGCAGTCTTTTCTTTTGTCAATTGATGAGTAAGAATGTGCATAATCTTTGTCATAGGTGTGTGCAGTGTCGTCAAAGGGGAGCATGACTTATTGGTCAAAAAAATTCATTCAACTACCCCTTCCCTCATGCGACGCCCGCACCCGCACCCCCCCCCCCCCCCCCCCCCCCCCCCCCCCCCCCGCGTCCTCCCTTCTTTTTAAACAACTGAAATTATTTTTGACTTCTTTTTCTTTGTAATAGATAAGGAATGGGCATAAATTCTCTCATAAGTAACCAAGTGTAGCTTTCACACTTGCAAGGAGGTAGCCCTCTAAATGGTAGATCTTCCAAGAACATAGGGTCTCTACATCTTAGAAGATTACTCAATTACGACTTTCACACTACAAGCAAGGTAGCTCTTTCACATTGTGACAAAGTCAAGCAAAATAAAGAACCTGTGTGCAACAACTCCCTGCATCAATATATTCAACTTCGGCTGGGGAGAGTGAAATTAAGTTTTGTTTCTTGCTATACCCGGTGATCAAGTTGTTGCCGAGAAAGAAACATCCTCCAAATGTGCTTTTTCTATCATCCAAGTACCCTGCCCAGTCAACATCACTAAAACCCACAAGAGTAGGATTAAAATCATAAGAAAACCAAAGTCCAAAATCTGATGTTCCAGTAACATATTTCATGATTCTCTTAACAGCTTTAAGATGTAGCTCAGTAGGATGAGATTGAAACCTAGCACACACACCTACACTAAAGCACAAATTAGGCCTACTTGTTGTAAAATAGAACAAACTCCCTATCATGCTTCCAAACAACTTATTATCAACCTTTTTACCTTTTTCATCATTGGAAAGTTTAAGAGTGGAGCTCATTGGTGTGTTAGCATGCTTGGCAAATTCAAGATTGAATCTTTTGAGCATGTTTTTGGCGTATGTAGACTGGGAGACAAACATGCCACAATCAATTTATTTGATTTGAAGACCAAGGAACATGCTAAGTTTCCCACCATACTCATCTCAAATTCATCTTTTATTAAAGTAATAAATTTTTCAAGTTGAGTATGAGAAGTAGAACCAAAAACAATACCATCTACATAAATTTGAGAACACAAAAATTCACTCTTTCATGCTTTATGAACAAGGTTTTGTCGGCATTACCTCTAATCAAGTTATGATCAAGAAGGAAGGAGGCCAGCCTATCATACCATGCTCTTGGTGCTTGCTTCAACCGCTAGAGAGCTTTCTCAAGTTTGAACACGTGATCAGGCTTGTGAAGATCCTGAACTCCTACTGGTTGCTCAACGTAAACTTTTTCCATCAGCATTCCATTTAAAAAGGCACTTTTCACGTCCATTTGGTAAAGTTTCAGCTTCATACAATAGGCCACTCCAAGCATTAATCTTATAGATTCAAGTCTGCCAACAAGTGCAAAGGTTTCATCAAAATCAACTCCTTCAACTTGGGTATACCCTTGTGCGAGGCAACAAGTCTCGCTTTGTTTTGCACAATGGTTCTAACCTCATCGGATTTGTTCTTGAAAATCCACTTTGTTTCAATGACATTAATCCCTTCAGGTCTTGGAACTAGTTTCCACAAATCATTTCTCTCAAACTGTTCCAACTTCTCGTGCATAGCTGCAATCCAACAGTCGTCTTCAAGGGCCTCCTTTGCATTTTTGGGCTCTGAAAGGGAAACATAACATAGGTTATTAATTTCACTCAATTTTTTACGTCTAGTGACCATTACCTCTTCTGGATTTCCAATCACTATGATGGTGGATGAGCCTTTTTAATCCAAGAGGGTGGTTCTCTAGATTTGAGTGTCTTTTGTTTAGTGATTTCATCCGAGAGATCAACAATTAATTCGAGTCCTTGTCTCTCTAAGAGAGATCCTTTTTGAGCTACAGATGTGCAAACTTTGGATTTTGATGTGGTCACATGTTTATGAGAATTTGAAGTAGACACATCATCGTGATCAGTGGTCACATTGAGAGTCAAGATTAAGTCATCAATATCTTCTTTATGGGAAAATTGCGAAAAATCTTCAGAATCAACAACATTAAACGATTCAATTATACGTTGAGTTCTCATATTGAAAACCCTATATGCCCTACTATTTGCAAAATATCCAAGACAAACACCTTTGTCACTTCTAGAGTCAAATTTTCCTATGTGATCTCTATCATTCAACACATAGCACTTGCACCCAAAAACATGAAAGTAGGATAGATCAGGTTTCTTACCTTTTCACAGTTCATATGGAGTTTGAGAGTACCTTTCCTTAGAAAAACTATGTTTGCAATGTGACATGCAATGTTGATTGCCTCAACCCACAATTTTATTGGTAATTTCTTGTCATTTAACACGACTCTTGTCATTTCTTGAAGAACTCTATTCTTTCTCTCCACAACTCCATTCTGTTGCGATTTTTTTGGGGTAGAAAACTCATGCCATATACTCTACAAATCACAAAAACTGGAAAAATCAGTGTTCTCGAACTCTTTTCCATGATCACTTCTTATCCGTATAACTTTCTTCGCACAACAACTTTGTTCAGCTTGAAGTCTTTTGATCAAGGTTTGAAAGACTTCAAATGTATCAGACTTTTCTCTTAGAAAATCAACCCAAGAGAACCTAGAAAAGTCATCAGCACATACAAAGACATATCTCTTACCTCCCAAACTTTCCATTTGCATAGGTCCCATTAAATCCATTTGGAGAAGTTCTAAAACACGTGAGGTACTCAGTCAAGATAAGGATTTGAGAGGAAGCTTAGTTTTCTTACCTTGTTGGCATAGGCCACAAACTTTACCTCTTGGGAACTCTAAAATTGGTAGTCCTTTCACAGCATCCTTTTTAAAGAGTTTCACAAGATCTTGGAAATTTATGTGTCCAAGTTTTTTGTGCCAAACATCAATATCATCAGTGCTAGAACTTAAACATGAAACTTTGTTAGTCAAAAGATAGCAATTATCATTTGATCTTTTTCCTTCAAGAACTGAGGTTCCATTGTTATTTAAAACTTGATAAAAAAATTTTGAAATTTCACAACACAACCTTTATCACAGATTTGACTTATGCTAATGAGATTAGCTTTAAGACCTTCAACATAGAACACATCATTCAAAATAGGGAAACCAGGAATAATAATAGATCCTTTATCAAGGATTTTATCTCTTTTTCCATCATCGTAGGTCACATGACTAGCCTCAACAAATTCAGGTTCGGTCAACAAACTTTTGTTACTTGTCATGTGCCTTGAACACCCGCTGTCAAAGTACCATTGGTCATTTTGAAATGCAAGCAATGATGTATGAGTAACCAAACTGTTGGTACTAGACTTAGGCCTCCTTATTTTGTTGTGTTTAAAAAAATTGTTTTGATGTGGGGGTTTTTTTAGAGGGAAAAACATGATTTCCAATGAATCTTTTCAAATATGTAATGAGTTTGAAACACTTTGGTCTAATGTGACCTTTCTTTTGACAAAAATGATAAACAGGAGTAAACCTTTTTACCTTACAAAAAGAATCAGGAGGTGCAGAGAGAACATTCTGGTCTGAGACTGTGTTGATAGTGGTGGTCACAACTAGTTTCGAAGTGCTTGCCTTAATAAAGGTGGTCACACCAGGTTTGGAAGAGCTTGCTCTAGGGGGAAAACCCAAACCAGTTTTGTCACCAAAAGACTTCCCTTGGCCAAGAACTTTATCAAGTTTATAAGAACCTGCATTTAATCTTTCAACAATTGCCTTGGCCTCCGTTAGTTCATTTACAGTTTGATTTAACAAAAGTTCCTTGTTAGATAAATCAATAAACATAGCTATCAATTTATCATTCAACACTTTTTTATCTTTTGTTAAGGTGCAGTTTTCAGATTCAACAGATTTGATCTTTTTGATAGCTTTCACCCATGACTTATACATCTTATCATAAGCCTTTTGCTGCTCCTTACAAACATCACTTGAGTCATCCGAGGACACGCTCCTACTGTCCTCTTGGTTAGTAGTAAAAGCTAGGAAATTCTCATCCTCATTAACGTCATCACCTCCACTCCCACTGTTATCACTTTCACTTAGTTTGGTAGCCATGGCTTTCCCCTTTCTCTTTAGAATGTTCGCATACTCTGACTAAATGTGTCCATACCCTTCACATTCATAACACCTGATGCCTTTGTTTTTCCTGTCATTATCTCTCAAAAATCATTTTGAGAAGGGACCTTGACCAACTTGGTTAGAAGGCTTCTTCACAAAAGGTAGTTTACCCTTTTTGTTCAACCTAGGTTTTCTCATATTCTTTTTCAAGAATTTAGCAAAAATCTTTGTGACCAAGCCACACTCATCTTCCTCACCATCACTAGAGACAACACACATAGAAGGTTCAGATGTTACCTTATGCTTTAGAGGGAGACCTTTTCCCGATTTCTTCTCCCATTGTTTCAGGTTGAGTTTGAAAGTCTAAAGTGACCCAATGAGTTCATCCAACTGTAGCTAGTCCAGATTTTGGCATTTTCGATAGAGGTTGCTTTGGGCATGAACTTCATAGGTAGAGAACGCAAAACTTTCCTAACAAGTTTAGCATCAGTATAGATTTTATCCAAAGCAAAGCATTCATTCATGATATCACATAACCTACCATGAAAATCGGTGATAGACTCATCATCATGCATAAAAATATTTTCATAATCAGCAATCAATCTCGTAAGTCTGGTCTTTTTTACTGTGTCAGTTCCTTTATTCTTAACTTGGAGTTTTGTTTCACAATTGGCTATGTTTTTCATTTGGCCAATGCTGACAGCATTAAAGAGTGCATGAAGAGCTTTAGAGTTGAAATTAGACTCTTCCAACTTAGCTTTAGTCCATTGATCCCCTATTACTACCTTCTACACCTACAACTTGTGGTTCTTTCCAACCAACGACACAAGCATTCAAAGCCCTTTCATCAATGGATTTTAAGAAGGCTTTCATCCTAGGTCTCTTGAAGGAAAAACTAGTTCCCTCCAACAATGGTGGTCTATGAGTAGATCCACCTTCAGCAAAGAAACTCATAGTGACAGAACAGAAAATATGGTTATGCAAAAGGAGGTGATCGTACAGAGCAAAAATGAACTGATCTACTCAACCAAACACGAGAAAGGAATTTACAAACAAGAAAGGATCAACTGAAATAATTTTTCAGAACCTACTCTGATACCAATTGTAAGTTTTAAAGAGATTACCAAGTGATTAAAACCTTATGCGGAATGGGGTGCTTGTTCAATTTAAAGCAAATGAGTTGAGAATAACTAAATTAAAACATACATAAAACCAAGTAAAGAACACGCTTATTTTTACATGGTTTGACATCAAGCCTACATCCATGGGACCATGTCTAGAGGAAGCAAATTCACTATGAAATACTTATGAGTTCAAATACAAAGCAAGATAACCATAGTAGTAAAACACTCCCTGTTTTATACATAACAATTCTATCTTCCTTGGTTGAAATTCAAGCCATCATAGCAAGCTTCACATACACAGCAACGTGATGTTGAAGAAGAGTTCCTTTCAAGGCTCAACAATGAAGATAGGACAGTAGCTTGCACTCAAGCTCTCGTCACAAAGAAACTAACATTCAAAAGATCTTACACAAGGATAAGTGATGAGGGTAATTCTAAGCCGACTAAGGCATAGTAAGAAACCTTAACAAATATAAGAACTACAGAGAATATTCAGAGAGGCAAAATAGTGTAATCAGGTTTCTTGTAAAACAAAAACAAAACAGTAAAATATAAAGTGATCAACACGTTAAAGGTTGGGGGACAAAAAAGTTAAACTTTAACTTTTATGTCTTTCTTTTTGCACAAGACATTTTGGGATCACAGACAAAAGAAATATTCCTTTTCTTACACTACGAATAAATATGATACAAGTGTAAAGAATAAGACAA